GCCTTCATTAGATCTTCTTAACTGGTTTTGTCTGTGTTCAGAAGAGACTAGGGTCAAAGTTAAAAGGTTTTGTTAAGTCACTACAGCATAAACCCTTCTGTAAAAGCATTAATTGGCTAATACAAGAACTCAACAAGACATTGAAATAATAACTCAATAGGACAATGAAATAATATTCAACTTAATGCAAAGTAGATCCCAAATATCTTAAAAATAAAAACAAATACCAAAGCAGTAGTGTAGTTGACAAAAAAAAAAAAAGCAATAGTGTAGTTGAAGGGTCTCTTCCCTTTCTATCACCAACGGAAAGATTCAAACAAAAACATCATTAGAAGTTTAGAACATTTCGATACTAAGCTCTTTGTGACCTTTTGGAAGTTCCTTTAGCTTGGCCACTATCGCTTCTATCTCCAACTTGTTACATTTCGACGACGGTTTGATTTTCAGAGTCTTGACCACCGTCCCTTGCGTTATCAAACGCGAGGCTAACGTAAACTCTTCTTTTGAACCGCTAAAGTTAAAGAGCCAGACATTATATGCACGTAAGAAAGCGTTGGGAAACGGTTTGGTCTCTTCCCAAAATTTATTTTCTGTTCTTCCAATGGAAGACTCACCTTCTTCCCTACAAGCATTGTTGTTCTATTTATTCCAGAAAAAAAAAAAGGGATGTACATGCAAAGGTTATGAAAATATAAAATTGCCTTGTTCTATCAAATTTTTTTTTGGGGGTCAAAACCTTGTTCTATCAAATTATAATTTGAAACTTGAAATGAACGTACCTTCAATAAGATCTCAAGTTCATGCATTTCACCAAGCCATGCAGCTAAGACTTCTTTCAGCACCTCAACTTCTTTTGTATTTTTCAAGTCTACACTCACCGACATCGATGCATAACTTGTCAGATATTCACTTGCTTCCCTCACCATGAATTCATGTCCAACGCTTTTTTGCTCCTTAAATTCATATATTTGTATATCAAAGATGTATTAAATGTTAATATCATACAATAATACAATTGCACGCAAAAGAAATACATACCTGATGGGGGCATGATATATAATAGCTGGCGTGTGGATATATCTCTCCTGTAGTCCAATAATTTTTGTTAAACTGGAGTCTAGGGTTTGCAATGACGAAATTCTCCATCTCACACGAGAGAGATCTGACTATGAAGATCTCAAGATTTGGTGTAGACACTTCAATGCCATTAATTTGATAACTTGATAAGTACAAGACCTTTAAGTTGTGGTTATAAATCTTAAGAGGACCACTTGTTTTGTGGCATTTGATGTCTAGTATAAGTACTTCGAGAGAAGGGCAAGACAAGAGAACTACGTTAAAGACTCCAATCTCAGCGGAAATACCAACTAGTTTTAGTTTCTTTAGATTCCAGCAACTGTTGAAAGCATGTGGAGATTTTAAGTTATACCGGCCTAGATAAAGTGATTTGAGGTTGGGATGGGAAAATGATTTTGAGGGCAAGTCTAGTGTGTTATAGGAATTGGTTTTTAGTTTAAAAAAGCAAAAACAGTTGACAAGTGTGAGATGGTTGACGTGTTTCACATGAACCAATGATTGAATCCATGACTCAAGCATCCCGTTTTCACATAGCAATAATTGGTATGGGTAGTAGTAGATTGTGCATCTTTCCAAATGGTCACGGTGATCGTTTATGACCTACAAGACCAGAGAATGATTCAGGAAATGTATGTTTCTTGAGTGGTGGAAATCAATAAATATATACAATAGAGTTTATTTGTGTGGAGATAATATATATGGAAGTCTAATCGGTGATTTATTTGTATGCAAGTAAAATGATGATTTATTTGTATGCAAGTTTTCTAGGTGGAATAAGGTAAGAGATCATATTTTTCTATATTTTCTATTCAACACAATATAAGAATGAGTCTAGACTGAGCTTCATCAAATATATTGACCATAAAATTTAAAAATGTAATACTTATGTCTGAAATTCCGTTAGAATTTATCTTTTATAAAAGCGCGCGAAATTCAAAATAAAATCCACTTAATACAGTACAACAACAGCAATACCAAACAGGTTCAAAATCACAAATAAATACGAACCTCCTTTAGAAATGCCGTTATTAGACCGCAAACAACATAAAAGGGCTAACTTAGTGTTCTGTAATATAACATCAACCTAGCTAGATCTCATCAGTTTATACCCATGCTTTTTCGTCTAATTTCTTTATCCAAAAAGCCCTAATTAAGATCAAAACTATTGAGAAAAAGAAATGGACCTTGGTCATAGATCTAGCACGATGAGCAACAACGGACAAAGGAGATCCAAATTTGGCCATCTTTCGCATGTCCAAGAAGAGATGAGATGTGTCTTTCCACACATCCACCCATCGTTTTGAAAGGATACTTGTTCTCACGGCTTCTTCTGTGGACAATGCCGATAAGATCTTGAGCAAAAGATCGTTAGGGAGTTTGCTTATTCGATCATCAATATTGACAACATCGACAAGGACACCTTTTCCCCGTGCATCAGATGATAATACTGATTCCTCCATGGATGAATCGCTAAAGAAGGAGATGGATTCTTTTGTGAAGAAGAGAGACATGAGAAAGAGATAATGTTTTTGACTTGAACTTCTTTACATGTGTAAGAGAAAAGGGAGAAGATAAGCGGAGATTATATATGTATTATGTATGTAGTTAATTACGAGGAGACACCAACGTTTAATTAGAGGGAAATAAAAGGCCTCAAACAATAAAAATCATTCCTAAGTTTTAGATTTTGGGCAATAGATTAACCTTAAAACACACACAAAAAAAACTTA